CATCAGAATTACGTAATTTTATTGTTTACGGTTTCACTCGCCGGCCTGGTGGCTCAGCGGCAGAGCGAACAGCTCACATAAGATTGCGAATAGAAATCACGATTGGGGGGGGATTGGCTCAGCCCATCAATCCCTTTGGAGTCGGTAAAATTAGTGCCGCTTTGTGTGGGAATATCAACAATGGCTGTCCTACGTACAGACCCACTCCCGCCAAAGGAAAGTGGAGTGTTGACCATTGGCTTAGGGCTGTAAATGACAGATGAGCAGTCGCTCAATTCTCATTTAATCAAGAACTCACTTTGACTTGACTGTTTTTACTGAAATTCTCATAGCTGAGTTTTCATTCCAGAAATGGACATGGCGATGTATTTTTGTGCGAGAAAGCATTTTTATATGCTCTAATCTATACAATAATTCAAAGATAACAAGATTCAGAAATGCTTAGAGCAAAGATATTTTACAAATGTATGTGCATATGTTTCATTTGCATGCATTCTAAGGAAAGCGCACAAACTTAGGGCATATATATTAATCAGAGTGAAAGGTCCATTGGTAAATATGATTTTAAAGAGAAAAAACACAGGAAATGCATGAAGTCAACATACATCATGTATTGTTAGGATTGTAAGTAAGGGCATATGCAGGGCATATTTAAGTATTTAGCACATACCCTTAAGTGTGCGAATGTAGATTAATAAATAAACGGCATAGCCTGAAAAAACCGTAATAGGAGCCTATGCTCCCTTAATGTATACGACTAGAGCTCTGGGTTGTTTATTAGATGTAAATCCACTTGCCAATCATGCACATGTCAATCAGTTGATGGGTGAGGGCCTCGCCACACCATACAGGTTGTGGAGGTTATGTGACTCTACTTTACTGTACCTGCTCCAAATCGAGGGCAAACACATTTATTGTGGTTAATCTGTAGAATGCAACAGCACGTGTGTCACACGCAGTAATCTTCACCGAGTCGCCATTAACCACGTGACTGGTGTACACGTCTGGTTAATCATCAACCCTGCCAGCCTCCACACAGGCCCAACTCAGTCATCACATGCTGGTGTACACACGTGCATTGCACATACGGACTTATTAAAAGAGTGGTCCATTCCTAATGTGCCACACTACCACGCTGGTGAGTGCAAGTTGGTAAAGGAGGCAGCATGGGAGCTTCGAAGAAAGTGCATCAATGTATTTGCTCCACTGCCCTCTGCTACTCACCATCTAATACAGGGGTCCTCAAACTTTTTAAACAGGGGGCCAGTTCACTGTCCCTCAGACCGTTGGAGGGCCGGACTATAGTTAAAAAAAACTATGAACAAATTGCTATGCACACTGCATATATCTTATTTTGAAGTGAAGAAATAAAACGGGAACAAATACAATATTTAAAATGAAGAACAAGTAAAGTTAAATCAACAAACTTGCCAGTATTTCAATGGGAACTATGGGCCTGCTTTTGGCTAATGAGATGGTCAATGTCCGGTTCCATATTTGTCACTGCTAGTCGTAACAAGTGATGCAAGTGTGCATCCGTTAGTCTAGATCTGGTTGGAGATTTCAAATGTTTCATTCTGGAAAAAGTCTGTTCACAGACATAAGTGCTGCCAAAGATGGTTGCCATTTTGAGTGCATGGTTCCTGAGATGAGGATATGTCTCAGAGGGGAGAGATGCATAGAAATTATGAAGGCTGCTTGACTTGAATGCATCTTTCAGAGAGTCACAATTCTGCAGTTCAGCCAGTTCCATTTGGTAAATTGTATCCACATTTTCAATGACAATAGAAAATGGGTTACGGAAAAGCTGTATGTCCTGTTCATGGAGATGAAGCTCTTTAAATCTAAATTGGAACTCCTTTTGCAATTTTTCCAGTGAATCTACACATGTTTTGTTTGGGAATTGCAACCAATGGTTTTTCCGCTAACAGATTTTGAGTTGTGGGGAGATGGCGGAAGTTTTCCTCCTTAACTTGTTTGATGAGGAGGCCTAATTTTACTTCAAATGTTTTGACATGTGATTGCATATCACAGAGGAGCTTCCCCTTTCCTTGAAGTTGCACATTGAAACTGTTGAGTAGCTCTGTTACATCTGTCAGAAAGGCAAGGTGCCATTTCCATTCTGTATCATTGAGCTCTGGGTACTTCTTTGTTTTTTGAAAGCAGAAAAGCTGTAATCTGTGGAAGTAAGTCATAGAAACGTTTCAAAACTCTCCCTCGACTCAGCCAACGGACTTCTGTGTGGTACAGAACATCTTCATAGTCAACATTTAGTTCAGACAGAAATTCCTGAAATTGTCTGTGGTTTAGTGCATGAGCTCGAATGAAGTTAAGACAAGATACCACAATTTTCATAACAGAGTTCCACTTCAGTGATTTACTACACAGCGCTTGTTGGTGGATGAGGCAGTGTATGGCTATTGGATGAGAATGGTTATGTTTGTCCATCTCTTGGTTAATGCGAGCAATTACTCCTTTCTTAGACCCCACCATGCTAGGAGCACCATCAGTTGTCACACTGGCGAGTTTAGCCCAATTCAGCTCCAAACCATTCACAGTTTGGCAAACCTTTTCATAGATATCCTCTCCTGTAGTTGTTCCTTTGATGCTTTGCAGTGCAGCAAGCTCTTCTGTGACTTCGAAATAGTCATTCATCCCACGAATAAAAATTAGAAGTTGTGCAGAATCACGAACATCATTGCTTTCGTCGAGTGCCAAGGAAAAATAGGAAAGTTTTTTTGTGGAGTTTTGCAAATGCTGATGCAAATTGTCTCCCATTTCTTCAATCCTCCGTGTAATTGTAGGTCCTGAAAGACTCACTGTACTAAATAAAATCGGCCTTCTCTGGACACATCTCTTTGGCAACAGAAATAATGCATTCTTTAACAAATTCTCCCTCCACGAATGGTCTGCCAGTGCACGCTATTAGCTTAGCAACTTGAAAACTTGCTCGTAGTGATGAAATATTTAGCTGCTTCTGCTTCACAAAAGTATTTTGCTGAGTTGTTAATGTATTTTTCAGTTTTAATATTTTATCTTTTCTCACTTCTCCGACCAAACAATCATATTTATCTTTATGTTGAGTTTCATAGTGTCGACGTAAATTGTATTCGTTGAACACAGACACTATATTCTGGCATATCAAACACAGCTCTTTCCTTATACTGCAGGAAAAAGTAATCATAATTCCACTGTTCTTTGAAGATCCTACACTCCGAGTCAATTTTTCTCTTTCTTGACATCAGTTTCCTAGTGAGTCAAAATTGCTATTAGTAAAATACCAATATATATACAGCGCTACAAAAACAATATACCAGCAATAACTTTGCCCACACAGAGACATACAGACTGCACTGCCCATCAATGCAGTCTGATTGGGGGAACTCCGCTTTTACCCCAGGCTCACACTGGTGCGGGTGCCTTTAAAAAGTTAATTACACCTGCAGTTTTGTTCACAGATCGCAGTACATCCCCAGCACACAGGAATATCACTGGGAGTGGAGCCGAGGGGCAAGTGAGGGAGCTGAGGGAGGGAGAGCCAGTCAAGCGCAGCCAGGGGAGGACTGGCAGCCTCGGGCCTGGGGGGCAAGTCCAGTCAATTGGCCCATTGAACCATTCACCAGCGCAGCCCATTGAGTGCCCACCGCCGCAGCTCAATCAGTGCCCACCGCCGCAGCTCAATCGGTGCTCACCAGCGCAGCCAAATCAGTGCTCGTCACCGCAGCCCAATCAGTGCCCACCACCGCAGCCCAATGAGTGCTCACCAGCGCAGCCCAATTAGTGCTCACCAGCGCAGCCCAATTAGTGCTCACAAGCACAGCCCAATTAGTGACCATGGGCCGGATAAATGTCCTCGGCGGGCCGCATGTGGCCCGCGGGCCGTAGTTTGAGGACCCCTCATCTAATACCACAGCCTATAACGACCTGCTGTTTATTGTGGTCTCCCATCCAAGCATTTTACAGCATTATAATATGATACAGAAAGTTACAATGAATGCAATACGTAAATTTTTTACAGTAAAATTCAAACTTTCATGTGAAATTGCGATTTTTCATGAACAAATGTATGATTAAATGAATATTAATATTTCAGAGATTTATTTTGGGAACTCTTTGAATTTGTATTTCTTTTGGGAACTCTTTGAATTTGTATTTATTTTTTGGCTATTTTATCAAATTGTCAATTTGTTTTTGTCGCAGAAGTCACATTGTTTTTAGCTGCTAAAGGCAGTATGATGGGAACATGGATGAGCGAACACAGTGATATAAATTGAAACTGTACCTTTGAATATAAAATTTCAAAATAATGCATTGTATTTTGTTTTCATCTCAGTAACTTTTAGTGCACTGATACAAAATGTTTGATATTCATGAGAATGTCACGTACATTGGGGCTATTTTTCATTTTCCCTTATTTTCAATACACCTGCTGCCACGTTGAACGAGGGCCAGCATTCTATCATGGTTAAAAGATTCAATAAGCGGGCCCATAATCATTTATTAGCTGCATCAATTCTGTGCACTTTTTTTTGTTAATTTGCTAAAATATTTCCCACCGAGGTCATCCCTCAAAAGGCAACACATCGACGTTGTGCACTGGCATCCTTTGTTTGCCGGCTTGTATGTGGCATGGCATGGTCATATTGGGTGGAGTTTGTGAGGGGGCACGGGGGGGGTGACGCCCCACCCAAACGGAACACCTTTAATAATTGATTTTCAGTAGTTTACAATGAAGAAAAAACTCAAATTTATTTAATTATATGCACCCACGGATTCCTAATGTGAGGGACAAAGCGAATCCCCCCCACCCCAAATATGTCAAACTCCGCCAATGGGTTTTTGCCATCTGACAAGTGCGTGGAATTCAGGACATTCCTACAAGTGGATATCTAAAACGTTTTAAGTAACTTCAACTAGAGGCATTTTTTGTGGTATTTCTCAGAACTGACAACATTGGTGGTATGTTTCATAAATGTATTATTTGTCTGTGTGTATTGCAGGCGATTTGTAAGGAAGCAAATTGTGATGGCCAACACTTTGTTTAAGTGTGCATGCTACCATCCAGAGGAATTCCAGATCATTACCAGCGGCACGGACCGAAAGGTGTGTGCACATCGCTCGTGTTCACAGAAAGTTGACCAAAGGTCGTCGTTACAAAAAAACTTGACAAAATGTCATCATCTTCTTCACCATCATCATTACACATCATTATTAAAATGCAGATTCACAATGCAGTGACACTAGTGGAGGACAGTGATAAGTGGAGGGAGGAGCTACACACTGCCAACCCTCTGGACAGAGGAGGGCACGTTTGTGCCACGCATTTCCATTCCAAAAGCATCACAAAACTTGCACAACACGCATTCTAGAAAGGCGATATATATTAGCCACGAAGCTCCAATAACAATACAGTTCCAAATCGAAACAGTAAATGAAAATGACGACTGGGTGGCTCAAGGGACTGATGTGTGACAAAATTATGAGTCAGCACCAATGGCATGGTGGGTTTGAGTCTCTGGTGGCCAGCCAGTGGTTTAAGCCAAACACAACAGTAATTTAGTTTTTTGCTTAAAACAACTTTAAGTGTACTCTGTTTTTCAGCTTTATATCAGTTGATAATTACAGAACAAACCGTTGATTAAACACATGACAGATTAAATAAACATCTTGCCTTCAGAGCATTCAGAGCCACTTGAACATATGGAACACAAAATATTCTTGGGGCAATTCCTTCAGCATTCCACACATTGATCTGTTGTCCAATTGCTTTTCTCACTGCTTTAGTTCCAATACCACAGTCGGAAAATAACACGACAAATTGAGAAATAAGATAGCACAGGAATGGGAGATAAAATACTTCCATAGGCAACAAAAAATCCAATGCAACTGGTATTGCCCAAACATCCCAATGCAGAAATTACTCAATGTTATACACGGGGACCATTGCTTCCAACTGTGAAAACCTGACAGAACTCCCCCTGGAACTCTCGCGGGCATGTCCCACTGGGCAAAGTCCCCGGGGCTGGCCCCAGGACACGCTGGCAGGACAATATCACTTGGCTGGCCTGGGAACGCCAGGGAAAGGGAGGTCTGGATCGCCCTACTCAACATGCTGCTGCTGGGATCCTCACCAGGACAAGCGGATTGAGAAACGAACGAACAAGACTAATTGAGGCTCCATGGCTAAACAATGGTAGTAATCACAATGTGAACAATACAGGTGTGAAGATAACAATGAACCTGGAATGCTGCAAAAACAAATCTGTGACGAAAAGTGGCAACACGCTTGCGCAGCATTTAACATTACAGTGAAACGAACACATCCTGGAATGTGTCATTGAATTTGATGGGTGTTGAACACAAGGGAAGGAATTCACCACAGTAAGCTGATTGGCTTTTGACATGTGACCCTCTTAGCTCCTCGTCATATTTTCGAGAAATTAAAAATACTTAAAATGTCCATAATTGTTCTTGAAAAAAAGCCAAATGGCATTTCTTTTCATATTTGTGATTTGCGGTATTTCCCGTTATTTACAGAATTATATAAACACCTGAAAAATAAACTCTGTCAATCGGGCGCTATCAGGCTACAAATTGACGTGTCACCCAAAAACACTTTAATTCATTCGTTTACCAAGCAGTGAATCCAATAACTCATGGTATATTAACTGGGGAGGGATCAATTTTGATTTAAAGCTTTCGTGACTGCAGGGATTCATATTCTTGGTTATTTCGGTAAAGTCACATAGAAGGGAAATAATAAAATAATAAAAATATTAAACAATTAAATTCTCACGACGTTTCGACTGCAACACAAGCAATCATCATCAGGTGTGAAATCCACAGCAAGAAAATTTGAAAAAAGTGGCGTTTTTTTCTTAACGTCAGCACCACGGGCAGCGATTTGGCAGTTGGTCAGATGGACGAGTCCATCTATGTTCGGAAAAGAGGAGGGGGGAGAAGAAGAGAATGGAATGCGGTCTGAAAGTCACTGTAAGCGTGAACACAATCAATTAAGACCCTAAATTGTTTATCAAATCCTTCCAATGATTGCTAAGCCAGAATCCATCTTCTCGGTTGAAATTGTCTCTGTGTTTGTATATGTGGATAGCCTCATGAACAAATCACTCATTGTAGCCAGATGGCTTGCAGAGAACCTCTGTCTTGGAGAAGTCAATGTCATGTGAGCCCACTGAATTATAACAGTGATCTGCCACTTGACTTTACCGAAAGAACCAAGAATATGGGGAGGGATAGTTATAAAATGTAAGACAAAAGTAATCTTGTTCCACATATGAGGAGCATCCTGGTCAAATGAAAACATATACCTGTGAATGTGCTTTATGTGCATTAAAGGAGAAACTAACTGTGCACTTGCACACACGCGTGTCTATTAGACAGTGTGGCAATAGTTATGGCGATGCACCACTATGTGACATACAGCCAGGACACGTTTCACGCTGGAGGTGGGTGGTGATGTGTTGCTGTAGGGGGCCACCAACAAACCATGAGTGGACACACATAGTAGGGGGTATACGTACAGACATCAGCCTTTATTGTGAGGTATAGACCAAGATGACACCAACTTCATTGGTGAGACAAATTAGGAAGTGCCGTATAGAATTACCACACCGTCACGTGTCAAACTCCAGGCATGCATAGATTAAAGGCAAAGATCCCCTTATTAGCCTTAACAGACTGTTGGAGCAAAATGCTGTTAGCGAGAACCTATGAAGGCCGGCACGGCACACGGCCAATAGGTTAAAGAGCACGCAGACAAACCTACACGGGTCCTAACCGTAACTGTTGGATCAGCTTAGTGATGTAGGCAAGCCATTTAAATGGCCTGTAAACTCAACGAAAAATAACACCAATGTAAAGATTTGTGATTTGGTTTTGTACTTTGGTAATTCCTCATAGAAATGTATGGGCATCCGTAAGAATTGAACAACATATGAATGAAAACTGAAGTGACAAGCATGCTTACCACTCGATCACTAGGCGATTCAGTCTTATATTATTTTACAAATTATTTATTTACTACCTACTATAATTACCATTACATTTTGCATATAACTAAAATGTTGTAATAATTTATTGATGTCGCAGAGAGGCGCTCGAGAGCTCACTCTAGTAGAGTCTATACTGCCAGCGGTTGCTTGAGCAAGGAAATGTGGGGCACCTCGAGATTGATATTGCTTTTCATCTCTTAATTTCCATCAGTAGGTGTTCATTAAACCTTTCCTGCACAGCATGTATACTATGATCACGTAAACTATTCAGAACATCTCCATCCAATGATAACAACTCTGCTCTCATGGAGGGAATATAGGGGAACGTGAAATGGGTTTGCAAGTGCCTCGGGGAAAGTTTTTGGTTGTGTAACGCGTCGCCCTTTATGTCTGGCGTGCGTGTGCGCTTCATAGATCGGGTTCTGGGAGGTGTTTGATGGATCCCCCATCCGCGAGCTGGAGGCCTCGCAGTCTGGATCCATCAACGGCATGGATGTGTCACCTGACGGGGAGTACTTTGTAACAGGTAAAATGTTTCTTGCTCTCGTACTACAAGCACGACATCGCATCTACTCTCTGGAGCAGCAGACATGCTTAAACGTAGACCATTGCACATGGCACCGGTTATATTGTACGTGTTTATATATTTATATAAGCTACAAAATATTGATTATAGGGGAATGTTCGGAAAACAATGCTTATTTATTGAAGCCCTTTGTTGGGTCTGTGTGCCTTGTAAAAATATAGAAATAGTAACAATCATTTATATCAACTAATGCTGTTACGGCTATAATATTTACACATACCAACTCTATTTCCACTACATGTTTGGCTATGACCACGACCGCCATCATAAATCCAATAAACACTTCTCATTCCGGTTCCCCTAAAGTATACAGAGATCAAATGTTGACTTAAAGCTTTCGTGACTGCAGGAATTCATATTATTTGGGTCTTTTAGTAAAGTCACGTAGATAGATATTTTTTTTATTATGTTTTATTTATTTTATTTTATTTTTTCCCTTCTACGTTACTTTACCGAAAGAACCAAGAAGAAGATCACGTAGATAGGTTGAACCTATATAATCGCTTTGCACTTTGCACTTTTTAAACGGTATGATGGTGAACACATTTCCATTGCCGTATGTTATGCTAGTCCTTTATGAAATTGAATTTTGTGTAGAGAGCCCCGGGGTTATTATCAGTATTAAATTGTAATGTACAAATAAGTTGTGATGAATTAAAAATGGCTTATTAACAAATCCTCACAAAAATAAACAAGGTCATGTGGTCTTCATAAAATAATATTTTGTACATTACTGCAAACTTTTCATGCACTGAGGTTAGGATAACTTTGGTGGAATGACTCTCGGCACATACTATATTATTAATTTCCAATATGCAATTTCCAAATTCATTCATTAAAGTGACTGACTTAACCAGGTAATTGATGTTATTTGTGTAATAAAGTACGGAGTCATGGGTTTCAATCTCGTGAATTCTTGTGAACTAAATACGTAATTTCCTGTAGAAATTTGGTGATGTTACTCCAGCAACCAAGAAGTGCAACAACACAACCACAAGTCTGTCTTGGCCAGCACTGGGAGTTTCTGTAATTAGTTATGTGCAGGGTTAACAACTGCTGTGGAAGTTAACAAGAGTACATTCTGAAAATTGTGTAACAGAAACCATATATCGTGATCAAGCAAAGTGGATAATCACACACAATCCTGCACCGCTGCTTAGCATGGTTGGTTATGTATGAGGCAAAAGAAGTTCAACATATACAAACATACAATCCAATACGATAACATTTGGATGTATATAGCAACTAAATGTGACCATCTCAGGAGGTGCTGTTCAGAACAGTGGTAGATGGGCACCCTGCAGATACGAGGCCTATTTATTTACTTTGCACAGAGAACGAGTCATAGGCAGAGCAAAAGAGGAAGTCAAGAGCACAGATGGTCCAGGGAAGAAGGTTCCAGAATATGAGGTCAGCAGAAAAAAAGAGAAATCGGGGTGGTACTCATCTCTTGTTTACATCTCTGAGCCAGCAGGTGAAATTCCACATCTCCGTTGTGGGAGGTAGATCTCATGCAAAGGACAAACATTGTTTACTTCCCACAAAATGATGCTCATTTTATTGACCCCAAAAGGTATGAGAGCCTATTCTTTGGGTCTTTCCGTAAAGTCACGTAGATAGGTAAAAACAATAATGAAATACACGAAAAAAACTACGACGTTTCGATCGCAACACAAGCGATTGTCATCAGGTCGAAAAAATGGGGGGAAATACTAAAAAACAAGCTGTTTTAAAGGTTTAAAATGGGCGTATCCCAGGCGTCCTGGTATCAGAACGAAGTGGACGGGGCAAAAGTGCCCTGGAGCCTGCGCAAGCGCAATGGTTATGTTAATGTGAAATCGGAAACAGGAGAGGGGGCGTCACATGAGACGTGGAGAAATTAACCACTTGTGGTACGGCCAATGCAGGAGCGACACGGCAGGAACTGGGATTGCTTGTCCCATCTTGGTAAGATAAAACTAACATCGAAATGTGACAAGATGGAACCATCACAGCCAGTTATGACTTAAACTGGTTGATGACGTCCTTACAATGATTTCTGAGTTTGTACCCATCCTCTCGGTTGAAATTGTGTTTGTGTCTGTATATATGGATGGCTTCATGAACGAATCATTGGTGATAGCCAGTGGGCTTGCAGAGTACCTTTGTCTTAGATAAATCTATTTTGTGTGTTTCAAATCTGCCTTTTGCTCACGAACACGGTCCGAGACATGTCGCTTAGTTTCCCTAATGTAACTACTGCCGCAGACACAGCTTAGTTTTTTTTCCCACCTGATGACGATCGCTTGTGTTGTGATCGAAACGTCGTAGGTTTTTTCGTTTATTTCATTATTTTTTTGACCTACGTGACTTTACCGAAAGACCCAAAGAATATGAATTCCTGCCGTCACGAAAGCTTTAAGTCAAGATGTATGAGAGCCTAATTAAGATTTCCCATTATGAGCCATATATTATAGTCACTGCCACCTGCCCAGATGAAGTAATAATTATTATAATAATGCTTACTCTTTGGTTCTTTCGGTAAAGTCACGTAGGTATAAAAAATAAAATAAATCACGACGTTTCCGGCGCAATACAAGCGTCCGTCATCAGGTGGGAAGGCATGGCCTGCTGCTGATGCAGACTTTTAAAGGCTCTGTTTACCGAGAAAAACCTCAATATGATCTGAAACTATCAGGGCATGTCCTGCTCGGAATCTTTAAAGTTTTTTCTTAGTATATTCGCATCACTGACAGATCATTAACGGAACAAGACACGTCGCTTTGCAGTCTCGAGTGGGCAAAAAAATAACTCTGTCCAGATGCCAAAAGCAAAAAATGTGCGACAATTGGTCAGAGCTAAATGGCATTTATTGGCCGTAGGGCTGAATATGTAAATGAGTGGAAACTAATTTTAACACGAGGATTTTGTACTCAAAGGTGGTGATGACAAGCTCATCAAAGTTTGGAGCTACAACGATGGGGACGTGACGTTCGTTGGCAAGGGGCATAGCGGCAACGTGACTCGTCTGTGCATCTGCCCCAACCGCTGGCACATCTTGAGTGTCAGTACCGATGGCGCCATCCTGCGCTGGCGCTACCCACACTCGTCCGCCTGATGCGCTCCCGTCCTCCGCACATGAACACACTGAGCAGCAAACTTCACACACTTACAAATTAAGGCGAGTCAAGTACTCCGTTACGTAAATTAAGTGCTGATGATTCTCTTGAGGTATTTACTGTGTTAATGAAGAAGCCATACAACACACTTGGAATGGCAGAATGGAAGAGTTGTAACAAGAAAACAAATATTTGCCATTCTAGCATAACGTATTCATATAAGATGGCTTTGACTCATATCATAGCAGTATCCTTTTTTCCACGTGGGCAGGAGTTCAAGTTATGGTTCACGTTAATTTAGCTCATCATTCCATTGTCAGTAGTATAAGCAGCCCGTGTGGTGATTCACACTTGGTAAGAAGTCTGCACTCTGCAGTGGCCACCAAAAATTCAGAAATTTAAACGTAATTTCTGCCAGTAGAAATGCACATCATTCATTGATTGAGATAGTGTTGGAAAATGTTTGGCATTAATCTATATATATCTCAGTATACCAAGAACATGTTTAGTCTCTCATTTAGTTGCAGTGGACAATGGAACATAAGATTTTTCCTGTTGAATTAAGGGCTGTTGGGGACACTGTCCCTTGACCTGTTCAGAGATGCTAACGATGCATGGCCAGTGTGGAATGCCTCTCTATTGACACCTGTATACATGTTGTCCACCTGTCCAGGAACATTTGGGAGCATTTGGCACTACAAAAATATATGTATCCCTGGGACTTCCAACAGAAACTCCCGGTTGAGAACCCCTGTGTTAGGGGCCACACGAATGCTGATCGCGTTCATTTGGTCTGACCCAAGAGGTATAGCCATAGATAGGCCACTCAAATAATGAGGAGGAATTATAGCAACTTTTTATTTCAAATCCTCTGCATATTTCCCACCAATACAGAGCAGTTGCTCACAAAATTTCAATCACCTATTGAAAATAAAGTAAGAGGGTCAGAAATCAGTGAGGCTCCTCTACAAAAGTTAACCCTGGATAGTAATTACTTAACTGATATATTGATTGCTCCATATGGCCTGAAACACTTTATCCTCCCCGGTAACAGCTTAGTTATATTAATAGAGTTAATCGACTAACTTCTAGGAAGCCACCACTCTCCTCGCCCCTGTCCCTTTGATACGTTTTTTTAAAGTGTCCCCAACCATGTATGAAGAGTCCTCTACATTAGCTATGGCAAGACCATTGTAGGCATAACAACGGGTTATTGTGAGTGTATAATTTGAAGCAGGACAGTTTACATGCTCAAAAAACGTACAAGATCATTTACACACAGTTTACATTTGGGTTCGATCAAAATAGTGATATTCCTGGACGCGTTTTTCATTATAATTCATTTTGTTAAATATCAGCTGAAAAAATATATTACGTAAGATTGTGGGTGAAGCGGTGGTTCTTTGGTTTTTGCCCTGACCTAATGTATCCAGAGACTTGAGTTCAATCCTCAGCCATGACTAACAGCATTTCACCAACCCACACTGAAGTGTAGTCAAAGAGCCCTTTATTACTGGCCTGGCATGTGGAGTCTTTCATCCAGCACGCGATTGACAATTGGCTTTAACATTTTGACTCCTACACAAGATTCATGAAATTATATACTTGGCTAATTGCAAATAATGGTGGTCATGGGAAAAAGTGAAATGACCCATATTTCCAGGTTTTAATTAAATTGTTTTCTTTTGCAGTTCTCTGTGTTGTACATACATATGTTGTACATACATATGTACAAAATAATCTTCCACTCAGCATAAAAAAGTTGTATGAAGTTAAGGTGGAATAGTGGCCCAAAATTCAGAGAAACGCCATATTTTCCAGCTGATAAAGTCAGTGAAATTCGATAGTTTGATAATTTCTCCACAAAAAATAAGCCAATGCCTGCCCCGTGACTTTGATCCCATCCGTGAAGTACTCCTTAAGTTATAAGAAACATATTTGTTAGAGTATTGCTTCACACTAACACGAGGGTTGTCTTTATAATTGCAGTCTTTATTTAATAAAGCGCCTTTCATATCGGAATATCTCAAAGCATTGTACGTAAAAAAATACACTCACAAGCAGATACAATCCAATGGAAATAATTTTTAAAATATTATAATAATAAAGATACGTTGAAGAAGAAACTGTGATTAAGCCAATAATAATTACACTCGTAGTCCAAGTGAAAATCAAACTACAGGAAGAGCCTATCAGTAAAAAAAAGGTTTTCGAGCTATATTTAAAAGTAATAATCTTCACAATTTCTAGATATAGGTAGGGATTGCGTTCCACAGTCTTAGTGCATAGCAGCAGAATGCACATTCACTCAGAATGCACGATGTTTTGCAAGCCCCGCCGTAACACAGTTTAACCGTTCACAAGTTACTTGCCTTCGAGGTTCACTTTACCGTGACACCACTGTACCACACCTCCTGTTGGATTTGTGATGATGCAAAGTACAACCTCATTTCCACACTTGCTTGTAGTAAAATACCAATAGGAATAATAAAGAATAACGCACATATTTAACTGTGGTATATACGTCCCTAACAGCTAACAAGTTTTCAATTATCTTTTATTTGGTTCGCGCGTTGTGATTTGCATTCAGGATGTATTTGTTATTCGAATGTGCAAAATAACATCAAAAAGGGAATTGCACACATACAAGTGAAATTTACAAACACTTTAAACATTTAAGAATTGCCTTTTTAATCAATGGCATTTGGTTAAAAGTATTGCATATTTAACCTTTATGATTCAAAAGGGAAGATATGTGAATGTATAAACAATGATAACCCAACACATAGAAATTTTAAGTTGACATTTGAAAATATGCTTTTAAGCAAATAATCCGTGAAAAAGTGCAAATTTTAAAGGCGCTATACAGTACTTGTGGAGTGTGTAGTGCAGAGTAAATTGTTAGATTCAATAAAGTATTCTTGGAAAACCCACAGAAAGGGACAGTGTTTCCGTGTACCTACAAACTTCTTTCCCTTCGTGTATTTGCATATATCCTGTTCCCGTCTACGCTTTCGTTAGACATCACTCCGCCACATTGAAGGTGAAGAATCTATATAAATGTTAATATCCCACTTGACAGTGCTTGACATAAATCTAAATTACGAGTGGTAAAAAAAAATACCTATGGAAACGTTTAATATGATAATCTGGGCAAATCAGTCCATTTAAGTTCTCTCATTTGTTACATTCATAGATTTATTTCCTTTTTTTTCGGGCAGGTGTCTCACATGGAGCTACACGCAGCTTGATTGATATGCACACTCTCTACGGCCTACAACGCACAATTATTGTGCCGTCTTTTGTGGATGTGTGTTTTCTGTGCACTGGTTGGCGCAATGCACTATGAACACGGCGGCCCGAATTCGATTCCCGCTCTCGACTAACAACAGTGATGAATATTTGAGCGGGTCCCTGGGCCTCACCTAGGCCTGCTCAGCCTCAAATGAATACTTGCTGTGATGTGTAAACATCAGCATGTGGGGGACAAAGGCAGTTGGGCATGATTCTAACGACACCACCCCATCGTGTGCCCTTCTGTCCTTTGTAGGTGCTCGCCATCAGCACTTGCCCCAACAGTCTGTTAAAGATACATGGGGGATATGTTCATTTGTGCACATACACATGTCTGTAATAGTGATGTAACTAATTATTCCTATGGCAAATTAGTGAATTTTGTGACTTGGCATCAGAATTAAATTCAGGAATCTATTATATTTCTACTTTGTGGTGAATACTATCTGCTCTGAATTTATGTGAACCCATTTACAACAAAGATTAATTTAATTCACACAATCGCGATTCGAAGCATGCATCGTAAGCTTAAGAATATATATTAATTGGTGCATCGTTACACCCCTCGTGTGTATTGTTTTTTTTGTCTGAAGGTCGACCCCCACCTGAGCGATCAGTTGCACAATTTGGTTACATGCAACTGGGATAAATAGCTCTGGGACGAATCACTCTCACAAAAAGACAACAACTCAGGGCTGCTCGAAGCCGCAGCCAAACAACACAAGACAGCCACGCGGTGAGCCGGCGTCAACAATTGCCCAAGCTCTGTGGTCCTCTACGTATTAAGGTGTTATTGCCCAATTAATGAGTGCTTACATGTGGGTGGAAACCGGAGCACCCAGAGAAAATCCACGTGTGTGAGGGGGAAACACTCTATCTCATACAGACGGAAACAGGTGGAGTCCACATGTTTGCTGTCCTGAATTCTCGAATGCCAGGGTATGGCTGTTTAACACGTAGACTTTTGCGACTAATATCTATAATAGAGGTTTTTTGGTTTACATAACGTAAATATAATGGGTCATTAAACCCGCCACCTCCCTTAACGGCCAATTAGCATGGTTTGACACTTAAACAAAACATGCCCATTAGTTACTAGTTCAGCACACCGGTGTGTTGGGAGAGCAAACTTACAACATTCACAACCTTGCTAATAGGATGTGTCAGGTGATGGCGGGTTTAATGACACATTTATACTTATGCAATTTAACACAAAAAATCTCTTAACAGGGTATGGCACATTGACACCGACGGGAAGGGAGTTTGCATTTGTGCTATCCACCAACCCGATTCTCCACAGTGCTGTATTACAGGCCACGTGCATAGCCACCACTACCTGGCTATATCAGCTGGCAATGATGAAGTTGCGCATTTTCTGGAGAGATGTAGTTGTGCACCTGATGGCTCAGCTGTGGATGGCGCCTTTAGATCAATGACGGCACAACTTGCATTGTGCATTATCACACATGGACTTGTGAGCCATGGCAATGGCTTTCATGTTGAGTAATTGAGGCCTCTGTGGTTCGGCTAACCATGAATCAAGCATTCTCTTCTTTGATGCCTGCTCTAATTGGGGAGGCCTTCCATAAGAAGCAGAGTTGAGGACAACTCCTGAAAAGGTTTATTTTTTACGTGAAAAATTTGCACCATACTTTGAAAATGAGATTACAATGTGTTTTTTTTTATTGTGTTAGTTTGAAACTCGTGCAAAATCCTGCCAATACTATGCTGGCTCCCCGTTGTGTTTACTAGCATTTCACGAGCACAAAGACACACGTATGTGCAATCACGGAGCATGTTTTAAAACATCTCATTGCATTTTTATCCAAAAATGAATGCTGACGCTAAAAGCAATGATTTCTACCCCATGCAATCTAGTTCCAGCACATATCTAGTTATGTTTTTACACTTACTTGTAGTTCGATTTTATTTTTATTTCCTTTATAGAAAAAAAAATCCACTTACAAACCAGAAGTTTCCGCTCTTGGTAAAAAAAAGCGACCCTGACTTTTCCTATAACTGTTGGAAGCCCTGTCTTGCATTTCTCAGAATTGGCATCACAAGCCACAGCGACCACTTCCACCCACACGTACTTCTGCATTTACACTGCTGTTTGTGAAACGCAGGCATGTCACTTCCTGCTCAGATGGACAACTAAAATTTCCATCGCTCTGGTGTCTTCTCCAGTAGGAAAGCATAGGGACACCTGCAACAAAGTAACGGCGCTCGCCCAGTCGACGCACTTATTGTCTACTTCCGATTAGCACGGTTGGGTACATACGGTACAAAAAAAGTTCAACGTACATACATACATTGGGTGGGTAAGTAGATGGGTGGTTGAGTGGGTAAGTGTGTGAGGAGGTGAGTGGGTGAGTGAGAATGGGAGTGGGTGAGTGAGTGATCGGTGTGTTGCCCTTCCCCCGCACCTCCGATTCGCACGGTTGCCTACGTACGGTGCAAAAGAAGTTCAACGTCCACACCATTGTCTAAAAGCTTGTGTTTTGATTCTCCACTGTGCTCCGTGATTCCAGTGTCAGTATAGACACCCTTTAGGGGAGGGGGTGGGGGGAGTGGACAGTGACAGTGGTTAGCGTGCTGTGCTCTGAACCCAGTGACTCAAGTTTGATTTCCGGCCAGGGCTAACATCAGTGATGAGTGATAGCAGAATTGGTGCTGTCATAACCCCCCCCCCCCCCACACACACATTGCGCCCCCTCTACCCCACCCCCTTCACTAATCCGCACTGAGCAATGTAAAGGATGTAAAAAAAACAATGACCTCAACAGGTTTAAGGGAGGCAGTTATATATTTATATATATTTTAAAGTGCCCATTCAAACACTAAACAAATCATGAAGGAACATGTTGAGTAATGTCATCTGTTTGTATCATTGTTATTGATATACTATTGGCTGCAACTGAGCACTTGCAAAGTCAAGTTTTAGTTCAAAACTATTCCCTTTGCATGTTCCATAACAAAATTGAGTAAGGATGCTGTCCCAGGATAGTAAAAAAAGTCCATAAAAGTACGTAAGTATGCTGTTCGACTTTAATTACAATGTAAGGAGCCCAAGGGATTTTGTTTGAACGATGTGTTAACTATGAGCATTTGCAAAATTTTATTTCTCAAAGGTCTAATGTCACCCAATCAATGGCAAATTAATGTGCAAAGGGTATTTCCATGTGGAAGTTTACACGTAATTTTTGTTGCAAATCTACGGTCAAATAACATTAGTTTCACCTATTACCTCTACTTGCACACCAATGTGCCATCCACTGACTCAAAGAGCAAATACATTGAGGTGCATGATGCATCGTCTGTGGGGCTATGGTGTGCGCGCATGTGAACCAAGGTTATCCTTCATCGCAATGTGATTTGTATCCGATTGAAATCCGATCATTGCATAATTTACACATTCCATCAATGATGGAGAGTACCCACACAAGTTTTCTAATCGGAAGTGGGATTTGGTGATTCGCTCACGAGTGAAACTTGGGCATGACCTCGCAAGCAATATCCCACTTTGTGGAAATCGGTTTGAAAATGGCCATTTGTTGGGCAAGTCAGCCCATTGCTAGAATTACTAATAAATGAGCAGGTTGTATTTGTTACTATACTCAATATTTATTGAGAACACCATTGCAAAGAAGCCATTTAAGATGTTCACTTGATGAAATACACCACCACACGTCTATTTTTTGGATGTCACTAACACCGGTGTGATATATGCTCCGGCAATACAGACGCAAAGTGGCAGAACATACTATGCAAAAAGCAATTCGTTACGATGACGACTGGATTCAAATTCAATTGTATTTGTATAAACAGGGGAGAATTCAAGAGACCCGGATAGTCTCATTTCTTGAGTTACCTGGGTCACCAAAAATGACGAAAATAATCAAATACAGTAAGGCAATGAAGCAAAGAGAAAAAAAAACGAAACAGAATTTGTGCGATGAAGAAGGGCCATTGCCCAAAACGTCGTTTATTTTGTATTTTTTTCCTTTCAAGGCCACAGTGGCGAGATTTTAACTACCTCGCCGAGTATACAAGAGTTTGTGGATTCGATCCCGACCCTGATGCCTGTAAATTTGGAGTGTCTGTGTCTCTCTCCCTGTGGTCGCATGGATTTTGCTCCGGGTCCTCCGGTTTTTCCCTCCACATTTAGAATCAACACACGTTTAGAGTATTTGTCAGCTATATAAGCGACTTCGTTGAGCTATCATTTGTGGCCAGGTCGCTTATGAAAAAGAGCTACATAGCTCAGTGGGCCTGAACCTGCTAAAATAAATAATAAAATAGTTTCAAGTTTTTCAATAGTTTAAACAAGCTTTAAAGCTGTTGAATGCTGTTTAATATATATTTTCAAGTATTTAACATATGTAAATATGAAGTCATTCTCTGGAGGGTGAGGCAAGAGTTGGACAAGGGTAGTGTGCCAGGGAAGACAAGGCAAGATTTGTAAATTGCGTTTTGCCTGCTCATGGGAAGGGGTGGAATTTCCAACACGAGTTCCCCCTTTGCACGCTTGCTCGTGCTAATTAGGAGTGATATAATTAACTAGTAAACAATACATAATTAAAGAGCAAAACAAATATGGTTTGTTGCTCGTTGCATATTAGTGGCTTTTAAATTATTTAAATATGTGTAATCCTCCTCGTCTAGCCTCACTTTTGACAGACACCGGATTGACGCCACACACACTGACGTGTCATCTGGATAGCCACATATCATCTGGATCGTGACTATCACTGGTTAGGCTTGGTGACGAGCCGCTCGCTTGAACACGTCACCAAGATAAGATTTTACTTTTAATATTGTTCAACAAATCCGTCACCGTGGCATCTGCCAATCTCCCAACTGTAACCGGAGCCCCGCGACGTCTGACCCTGATCCCTTTGGAATGCTCCTCCTCTCTCGTCAGATTTTCAGAAGCTGAGTAAAAGTTGAGCCTGGTTAGCGCAGCACTTGTTGTGTTTGGGTCACAAACCACGTGGCAAGAGACGGTTGCAATAGGTGTCTTGGGCAGTAGAGGGCAGTGCAGCAAAATCCGTTGTCATTCTGCACTAACCCTCCAGCATTCACCACTCTCACCGTGGATTGTGTGTGTACCATGCGACGTTGTAGTGGACGGTTTTAATTATTTTAACTTATCGGAATTGTGCGTCGGCTATGACGAAGGCGCGAGAGCTGCGTCTCCTCGAATTAAAGTGCCCAGTTGTGGTGTCCCTGTGCAATACAGAGAGATGGTGGCTTTTGTGGAAAATTGGTCTTTGTTGTCGCCGTCAAAAATGCATCGATGGTGTGATCTGATTGGGCGGTGTGATCGTGCAGGGAAGACAATGCAAGATTTCTAAACTGTGTCTTTCTGGCTCATGGGAGAGAAGTTGGAGTTTCCAACTCTTGTTTGTTATCACACGAGTTCCCCCTTTACATGCTTGCTGGTATGATAATGCAAATGGTGCCCTGCCTCATGCACTGCTGTTTCTCTGTCCAACGGAAGAGGGGATCAGGGAAGGAAATGGGCATCATCTGCTAAGTTTGCAGGCTATTGTACAAGCAATAAAGAATCCGCTTTAATTCATTATTGATTTGTGGGTGCGATCGTGTAAGCAAAATATGTGTCGTTTTCCATCCGCCGCCCAACACAGCCAATTAATGACATTGTTTCGTGATGAACAAATGTGCCATTTTATTCCTGCTTCAGCACCACCCAGTGGTGTTGGAGAGCAACCCAAAGCCACATTTAAGAATTGGGTACGAAATGTTTGCCGGTTGTACAACCAACATCACCAGGCAGTTGTCAATACGTCTCCAACTTGGGTATGTTCTCCAATCCGTATGCTCCTCTTTCTGGCTCCGAGTGCCTCGCCTATTCACGGTAATACATCAATTAATCACGTGGCCTATATCTGCATCGTCTGAATGCTCACCGGCTGTTGTTATGAGGGTTTTTTTTAAATCTCTGGGCACTGTGATGTCTGCTCTCAATGTAACTTTCACAAACTACAAATTACTTTTGAAAAACAAACTTGAAAGCTCAGTGAACTTCTCTAGCCAGCAGGTAAATTGTCACACAGCACTTATGGTATTATTCTTGTACATGTACGGTTGGATTCGCTTCCGTGAGGAAAGAGCTGAAGCAATGTTGCTTCACAACTCATCCTCGGGTTATGTGTGGGGTTACATCATCTAAGTTGCCACCAGGCACTGACATTCGTAGCTGGGGCGTGGCTTGCTGATGGGCCCTTATGAGTGTGAAACGCATCTGTTTCTCCAATCATGTTGCTAACAATTTAATATTGTCTTCTATTTTTTCAAGATTGTCAGCTAAAGGATTGAGAAGAAGTGTTTGTTATATAACACCTTGCCAGGAGTGGAGAAGTGGAAAGGGGCGTTTATTCACACACACTGCACTCTGCGCTCAAGATACCCGAGTTCAATTACTATCCACGGATAACATCAGTGGCGAGTGTTATCTGAACCGGTCCTTGCTCCCCACACAATCACCAATACACAACGGCCACTGTGGTGAAGTTCAAGATATGCAAACCCCCTAAAGATTGACATGGCACAAAGGGGGGAATTCTTCCAGCAGTGGCTTGACACCAAATGGGCGTTGAAATTTATGAAAATTCCGATGATGAAACCGGCCCATAAGACAATGGGAACAACAGCCCTCTTCATGACGCAGTTATTATTGCCGTCGCTTCGAACAGAACATTCGTCCAGTACATGGGGTATGCGCAGCGAGCGTTCACGTCTATGTGCTAAGAGGAAACTGGGGTTGTATGCGCTCTCCAGTTTGGCCAATAGTTGCGAGCGCTGAAGAGGAAACGCCATATGTGCCTCCACAAAACAACACCACCGCCAACCACCACACGTGTTCTCCACAGCGTCCAGAGTAATCGGCTATGCCCTGCGTACTTGTGTTGCAGGGGCAAACGTGATCTGGTTTAAGCTCAAATTGTTCCCCCGTTCAGTTAGGTTCATTTTAGTTTTGAAATTGTCAGACGCCTGGCATATATTCTACACTTTCCGAGACAACGTGCTACTGTTAGAAACAGAGAAGCCAATTGTCACCGACAACAGCAGTTCTTTAGAACTGCTTTTTGTGTTTAGTTTATTGTCCTTACCCCGCACCTTCGATTAGCACGGTTGGCGACATACGGCGCGAAAGAAGTTCAACATATACGACAAGCAGAGGACATCCGTGGAACTTATTCTGAATGGACGAAGACTAAAAACAAGGCATCTTTTCTTCACTTTTAGGTATGCTGGAGATGTTATTTCTTTGCGTAAATTGACATTGATTTGATATTGTTGTTCAAATTATCTTGCTATTTGAAAGTTGCGTTTTAATATCTATATTTGACTAACATCAAAACACACATGCTCAAGCACTGAGATAACGTTTTAAGACATGGAGAACTATATAAAGTGTATTGTTTTAAACCTTCATGACTTCCCCCGAATTGCCACCTTTTCGCACTAATGCAAGCCAGGCAATTATGTGTGTGTTTCCAATACCATAACAGCATGTTGTTAGAAATTGTGTATTCTTATTTTACGTCTTGAAACACCTTTTAAAAGACAATAAACGTTGATCATAAAAAGCGAAGTTGCACTGAGGCAGGATTTTTGTCTGCTACAACGGAAGCTAATATTTCGCTTGTTTAATGCTGGAGCAAAACAAACTGATAAAACAGACATACATATGCAATGCATATGCACACAAACATATGCGACGATTCGTAAAAATGTGCAAATAAATGTAAGGACAAAGCAAAGATCCCCCAAATAGCCATTGTCAGCATATTGGGGCGAGTTAGTAGCAAGCACTTATGAAGGCCGGCATAACAGATGACGTGGGGGGTAGCCAACAGCAATCCCCGGCCGCATTTGTCTCCGCATCGCTGATCTTCCCAAATAAAAAATATCTCCCGTGTTGCCTTAAAAGGCTGTTGGGGAAAGTGATGTTAGTGTGCACACATAAGCACGTCCATACGCAGACGCGCAAATATACACTAAACATTTGCATACACAAAGGCAAACACAAATGAACGCATCATTCGCGAGCCATACAAAATTATCAACTTAAAAAATAGCCTGTTATATTTGGTCAAACATTTTATTAACCCACCCCTAATGTGATGGCTGGAACTGCTTCTCTTTGGTGAGGCGTGTGATGTTAGCTGGTATAGATGATGTTGCTACTCGCAACTGCTTTTCCAGGTTTACTCCTAGATTTATTGAATTTCGAATCCCGTCCCTGCTTTAAATGATGACAACCCGTACTATGTCCGTTAAGTGTCCTAACCTGTGAATTTCCTTTGGCTCTTTTTACATATGTAAGTATATATTGTTTCTTTCAAAAACTCGGCTGTACACAGTCCTTGACAAGGTATCCTCGAGGACATTTGGCTTGTTATTTTAGTCTTTGTCGAGCACTGTACAAGAAATCAGTCACAAATGCAGTGTGCTCTAAGCTATTAGATGCCCGTGTGAGTTGCACGAAATGTTTCCACCCTTTAACATTATCGGTATGGCCCACCGGTGAGGTGAGTAAAAAATGTTTATCTGCATAAGCAGCATTGCCGATTAGACCCTATATGGACTTCCTCAGGGCACCGCAGTCTCTATAAATGCCACGGACGTACTCTCGCCACACGTCTTCATTCAGCCTCCTGAGTCTCATCTCGATGTCCAGAACGAACACCTCATTTGAGGCCCAAACATCGCACCTCCTGGCGGTTCACATTACCGCTGCGAAGACACCGCCTGTGTCACCAACCATCAGCCGCATCAGAACATCGACAGGCCCCGATGTGCTCGTCTCATTCATAAACGGAACAGCCTTTGTTTCCTCGCTTCGCAACATACATCTTACTTCAAAAATATTCTCAAGCGGAACACTTGTTGTTGGATACAGCCACATTTGCAAATGTGATTCGTAAATGTAGTTCAACTTTAATGTATAATATCCGTTGGGTCATTCGGTAAAGCCACGTAGATAGAAAAATAAAAAAATATCACGACGTTTCGATCGTAACAAAAGCAATTGTCATCAGGTGAAAACATATAGCGGGAGAGCTGCTGAGGAAGGATGTTACAAAGTTTTGAGATGCTAATCTTACATTAACAGGCTAAATGTCTCACTAACACAGCCACCGTTGCTCGTTTTCCTCGATGTGGCGGTGGTTTTCGTTTTTATTACATTGTTGACATGCTAATCTCTCACAATACAATGGCCACTTCCACAGCTTCGTCATCGTGGAGGTAGCTCAGCTCTCTGATCTTACATTTACATACAAATTTCATCTCTAGCCCCGCAAATTTCGCTTATGACCCTTGGGCTACACCCATCTCAAACCTTTATAAAATCCTGCCTCAGCAGCTCTCCCGCTATTTTTTTCACCTGATGACGATTGCTTGTGTTGCGATCGAAACGTATATCTTTATTATTTTTCTATCTACGTGGCTTTACCGAAAGACCCAAAGAATATGAATTCCTGCAGTCACAAAAGCTTTAAGTCAAGATTTAATGTATAATTTTTATTGAGGGACTATGTGTTGTCTTGGTGTGGTCTGGGACTGTTTTTGCTGTTATTTTACTGCCTTTTTCAAGATTGGGAATTGGTAATGCAAATTTGAACATGTTGTGTATTTATTTAAGGGGCACCACGGTGGTTGGATGTTACCTTCCTTGCCTGATATGCAGGAGGAGGAGGTTTTACGGAGGTTGGGGGTTCGATCCCGACCCTGATGCCTGCTGTATATTTGGAGTTTGCATGTCCCTGTGATCGTGTGGAATTTTTTCCTCCGGGTCCTCCGGTTTCTCCCTCCACATTTAGAAACATGCATTTAAATATTTAGATTATTTTGCTACTAGAAAATGTCCAAATGATGGGCCACTCTGTTGAGCTATAATTTGTGGCCAGGTCGCTTTTGAATAGAAGTTATACCTCAGTGGGCTTTGCCTGGTAGGATGGGGATGGTTTAGTGTTGTACAGGTAGTCCCCGACTTACGATGGAGATGCGTTATGACGACCCCATCGTAAGTCGAAAATATCGTAAGTCGAAAATGGCCTAGCCTTCCCAGGAGTCTTAAAGGATGGTGATAATTTAGCAAAACAGAGAAATTTACAGTACCGTACTGTATAAACTATATGCGTACAGTACATCCCGGCAGCGTCCCAATGTACAGTATTGTACCTCGTACGCTGCTGCATTTGCCTGCCGCGCGAAATGTAAAATATTTTACAATTTTGTCATATCGCTATCGCCATCCTAAGATCAAAATATCGTAAGTCGGACCGTCGTAAGTCGGGGACTACCTGTATTTGTATATGTTTGGGTGATCAGTTTACCTTTATTGTACTTTACACTCCTATCGTGTTGTTGTACTGTTTGTTGCTGTAACGTTCTTACCTGCCCTTACTGGACATCTGTGAAAAAATAGCTTTATAGCTCATCGGATTCCTCCAGTATAAATAAATATTGTGATTCTGATAAATGCAAAATTAAAGCCACAAGCCAAAGAGGTGCAATTGTCGCTATGGACCCATTGAGATACATTGAGATACATAGGGATACATAGAGACCCATAGGGATACATTGAAGACGAGCCACAGCAGTATGATTGCGCCCATGCAATCCACACTATGGACCACAGAGTAAAACCACCGCCGTCCCTCCAACAGAGCAGGAACAGCAAATCTACACGAACTCTCTCCTGACGCCCTCTCGTCATGGCTAGCAGACCTCGACATTGACATTTAGATCCAGAACATACTGCCATCATTCGCAAGACTATAAATAGCATCGTCTTGTCACAGCCAGTGACGCAATTGGTCTTTTGGGGAGGGGGCAGCAGTTGTCACGCTTGTTGATTGATGTTTGTCTCCTCAGTAATCGTCCACAAAATGAATAATATATTATGTCGAGGGATATTCTCATCAATAAATTATTATTTGTGTGATACTTGAGTGTCATTGGAACATCTAATGATTGTTCCTTCCTCAACGATGATTGTGACTTTTCATATATTCAGCATCACGTGACTGGACTCGGGAATTTGGTTCTGTTTGGTTTGGTTTTCGCCGTCTGATTTGTTTCTGTCAATTTGCTTCTCATTGTAATTGTCCATCACGTAACATTTACACGTAGTTTGCTAAGTTACTGAAATACTGCCATTTAATTCCCACAACCAAAAGTCTGATGAGCTGATTCTAGTTCAAGAATTGATCGGCCGTTTCTGATCAATAATTTGATGGAATCTATGATTTTAGATTGTGAATTGCTTTTGGAATGGGATTTTTCAAAACGACACGGACAAAGTGATCGCACGGTACGCGGGCTCAGAGTACACTAAACCGCTCATACGCCACCGACCGACCCCAATTCATCCTGACACACAAGAAACGATTCCAAAAAACTATCGTGTTCTAATCTAGCGTTAATAATATATAGTGTTAATATTAACATGGTGTTCCACCTGACCTGTATGCTGCTGATGATTAGTGAATCATTTATCGTGCAGTACCGTACTGTATTAAACATTTATGTACATTCCTATACATTGTATATACACTTACATTTAATATCTACACTCGTATAGTAATATAATATTATATAGTGTAGTGTATAGTAGTATCTAGTAGTGTATAGCAGTATATAGTAAGATAGTCGCATGTAGTAGTGTGTATATAGTGTATAGACTCGTACAGGCGAACCCCAACTTACACAAAATCGCGCTTACGCGGGGATACACAGAACCTAGCCTCCGCCACGTACATGCAAAAAATTGCCCTGAACCGCACACCCCTATTAAATAGCCTAGGAGCCAGAGGATATTTGTGTCAGACCCCAAGGTGAACAGTGCATTCATTTTATTCCTGTCCTTGCCGATTTACCTGGGTCCTGCCGTCACTTGTGACGGTCCTTGATCGCGAGCAGAGAGGGTCAGGGACTCTGAATTCACAAATAACAATCCGAGAGCTATGACCTCCCAATAGGAATTGTAGACCTTGTCAAAAGGCACGTGGAGCAGAGGAATAGGTCTAATTGAAAAAGAGTAAACGCAAAAGCTGGATCGGTATTGACAATCAATAGGACAACACTTTAAATCTATTGTGATGCAATTTACCTAGGAAGCGCCTCAATGCAGCAAAGTGGATAGCCGATGCGTAGACATTCCACACAATCTTGATTTGAAGCTTTCGTGACTGCAGGAACCATACTCTTTTTTTTATAAACGCATGCAACTCTAA